ACCGAAGTACAAATTATTTTTTTAAGCTTATTAACAAATAACACGGATATTTAGCATCAATTCAACTAAAATACAGTCCTTGTGACATTTTCAAGAAATATTTATTGGTGGTTTAATAATACTTCAAAATTAACAAAAATTGTCAAAGCTATCCTTTACTAAATACATGTGTACTAATAATGTGCGAAAGCAGCCTCCACCTTGTTCCGGTCGGGGCTATTTGCACTTAAACCAAGGTCTTTTTGTTACCATTTTGTAAAGAACTTGTTTTTAAAAATACAGTGACGGTTTGAAAAATTAGGCTACAGGTTGGAAGAAAAAAATAAAATGTAATAAACTACTTGCCCGGTGGTGCCCGGTGACGTAGAGGTACAGGCTCTCATCTACCAATCTCAAGGTGTGGGTTCGATTCCCGCACCCGGCATTTCATCAGCCGACTATTTTTATTAAAATAAAAATAGTTTGGGTACCTAGGTCGACTCAGCCTTAAATGAGTACTTGGGATTCACAATCCTGAGGTAATAATAGGCGGTTGAAGCGTAGTGCTAGCCACATTACCTTCCTTGTATACCGAACGGCTCTAGTATGGCAAGCTGTACCTTGCTACTCCCAAGGCGTTAAACGCTATATACGGGAGCTATTATTATTAATAAACTACTTGCGAATGTCTATTTGACATAAATATCATCTACGATCTTAACACTTTTTCATTATGATAAATACATTATAAACGTACCCCTACAAATCGAATAACAATAATTCAAATTATGACAATTTTAATAAAAATGTGTTACCAACTTGTAACCTAACTTTTCAAACTGTCATCTCTAGAAAAAAAATGAAATTTACAATTTTATTCGATTTGTTCTTCTTCATCGACCGATATTATTACAGTTTAAAAAATGCCTTTAACTTCAGAGCAAAAATCGATTATATTTACGTGATTAAGGGATGGGGTGCCCATAAGGGACATTGCAGATGCATTAGGGATAAACAAAAAAACCGTATTGTTGGCTAAATCCAAAAAAAAAATTCAATATAATTCAAATATCCTTATAAACCAGGAGTTCCATCTGGAACTACTAATTCTTGTACTACTTTTTTTTATCGCAATGGTACATAGTTTATTACATCCAGATTTGCAATTACAGTAAATCATTTTCAATACAAATTCTGTTGCCACTGCGTTTGACATTGTTGTTGGAACTAAGGTATCCGTTTTTTTACTCCATCCACATTCTGTTGCCTCTTCACCGTTATTTAGCCAATACTGCATTTATAAATAGGTCCTATAATAATGATTTTCAGCTGCGTTAGTTGTTGGAGGTCAGGTAGCTAAATAAATTTTTTTACTATAAGTGCCTGACGAGATGTAAGGGCTTTATATTTAAAATACCTCAACTGATCTAAATCTTTTGCTAGCCTATGTCGACCATATAATGAAAATAAGAATGTATTTCCAGCTTCGACTAGCTCAGATTTTTGTGCTGCAGGATTTAAAAAAAACGGATGTAATTTGTCGCAGATGAGGATCTTTTTGCAACGTTTTGAAAGTCGCCAGTTTACATTACATTTTATTTTTTTCTTCCAATCTGTAGCCTAATTTTTCAAACTATCACTGTATTTTTAAAAACAAGTTGTTTACAAAATGGTAACAATAAGACCTTGGTTTAAGTGCAAATAGCCTCGACCGGGACAAGGTGGAGGCTGCTTTCGCACATTATTAGTACACATGTATTTAGTAAAGGATAACTTTTACAATTTTTGTTAATTTTGAAATATTATTAACCCACCAATAAAAATATTTCTTGAAAATGTCATAAGGATTGTATTTTAGTTGAATTGATGCTAAATATCCATGTTATTTGTTAATAAGCTTAAAAAATTAGTAATTTGCATTTCGGTGATTCCTTTTAAAAATTGCTCGATTTTCAAAATTTTTTTGTACGTCATTGCGTTAGGATAATAAACTATTTTTTATTGATTCTAATAGAGTTTTTTATTCTCTTTAATTTTTACCTCTTGAAGTTTTTCGGTATAACAAACCGTTTTCGAGTTATTTACATTTTTTCCCAAAAAGTACCAAAATTCAAGATGACGACCGATTTTTTTTGATGACGCACACATCGGACAAATGGGGACTTTTAGTATGTTAATAAGGGTTACTAAGGCCAACTATTTTCAATGGTCGCAGCTTTCTAAAATTTTTTGCAATTTCAAGATGGTGAATGTCATAACTGTACTGGGATAGAACTAAGAATATTAAACAAATACATAAATGTAAGAACTAAGTGTACAAACAAGAGAATATTCATAATTTCGGCCATCTTTAACAAGATCAATGACTTTTGCACCATCTTCGACACTAAGAACCATATTAAATCGTGCACAATAGTCACCAAAACCACCTCGTCATTATGAAGAAACATCAAAAAGTAACGATAATTGAAAAAGCTGCAAAATGTTTGTCGCAAGTTCATTTTGCTCTTAAAAATTAACCAAGGCATGTGTTGCCATGAGTCAAAAAACCGAATATTCAGAAGACATGGTTCTGACCGAAAAATAATGTTCTAGGAAAATTTGCTCACGAAATTTTTGCACAGGGTGTTTCTGCATTGCATAGGGTAACAAACTCTTCAATTAACCCTGTATAATAAGTCAAATACTAAAGTTTGTAATAAACTGAGTTTACGAATTAAAGTTGATATATTTATATACAGTTTGCTAAAAAATCAAGGAAATAGGACTAAAAATAAATATATATACAGGGTGTTTCAAAACAAATGCGAAAAACTTTAGGGGGTGATTCCTTGTTTAAAATAAAGGGTAGTTTGCTTTATAAACGTTGGGTCAAACGTCAACCATTAGAGAGATATCGCGGTACAAAGATGGCGGAAAAATAATGTTTTTATTTTTTATCTTGAAAACGAAAAGAGATAGACTAATGAAATTTTATGGAAGCATTACTGTTATGAAAACACACTTTCTGGTAATTTTTTCACTTTTTTAAAATGAGTGGAAGGGGTTGAAATAAACTACCCCTATCATTCTTGTTAACAAAATTTAAAGAAAAATCTTATCAAACTGCAAAAAAATTAATTTGGATAGTTTAGTTTGTTTAGAAACTTTTTTATCTCTTGTGTTTTTTTGATAAAACTCACTGATTTGAAATTAAAAAATAAAATGTAAAGCATTACATGTCAGGACAAAAAACATTTTTAGATTAAGAATCTAGTGATAATAACGATAATAATAATCATCTAGATAATAACGTATTGCAGTAGAGTAATGTCAAATAAAATAATATTAGGAACATCCTAAAAGTAACAGCGGCCGACTAGATTTTTTCCTAAAAAATTACAGCAGCCCACTAGATTCTTTATCAGAAAATGTTTTTGTCCTGGCATGTAATGCTTTACATTTTATTTTTAATTTCAAATCGGTGAGTTTTATCAAAAAAATACAAGAGATAAAAAGTTTCTAAACAAACTAAACTATCCAAATTAATTTTTTGCATGTGTTTGATAAGATTTTTCTTTAAATTTCGTTAACAAGAATGAGAGGGGTAGTTTATTTCAACCCCTTCCACTCATTTTAAAAAAGTGAAAAAATTACCAGAAAGTGTGTTTTCATAACAGTAATGCTTCCATAAAATTTTATTAGTCTATCTCTTTTCGTTTTCAAGATAAAAAATAAAAACATTATTTTTCCGCCATCTTTGTACCGCGATATCTCCCTAATGGTTGACTTTTGACCCAACGTTTATGAAACAAACTACCCTTTATTTTAAACAAGGAATCACCCCCTGAAGTTTTTCGCATTTGTTTTGAAACACCCTGTATAAGGCTTTAAACCTGATGAAAAACATTTCTGTTGGGTTTTTTTTGCATCTGAGTGTATATCTGTATACAGAGTGGTCCGAATTGTATTCCGGGAACTTCGGGAGCATATTCTGCAGATAAAAAGAAGTAAAAAACTTATAAATGTATGTCCTAAAATGCTTAGTTTCGGACATACAGGGTGTAGAAGTTTCATTTTTATTTCGATTTTTTCAAAATAACTTCAGAACTAATGCCGATTTTTGGATGAAAATTGGTGTCAGGTTTAGAAGAGGGCGCCACCTACATGTGTTTTTACTGTTTTGAAGAGTAATAACTTTTTGTCCGTACCTGTATAGAACTGCTGAGTGAAAAAATATACATTTTCGTATTTTCTTACGTAAAAAATGTCTCTTGGTAAAAATCGTTACGAGCAACCCTTCTCGAGATATTTAGAATGGGAATGGTCAATACATGTCATTATTGACAAAAAATAAACATGTTAAGTAGATAGTTATTTGACTAAAATGATAAATTTGGAAAATTTTTATTTTTTTAAATTAATCATAAAATTTTCTTCGAAAAAATGATCATTGATGATGGTTTGGCACAAACACATTTCAAATTTATGATTTCCGTCTATTAACTATTTTGTCAACATGTTTATGTCAATGATGACAGGTATTAATAATTTCGATTTCAAATATCTCGAGAAGTATTACTCGTAGCGATTTTTACCAAGAGATCTTTTTTACGTTAAAAATGTCGTAAATGTATATTTTTTTACTTTTTAATTTTATACAGGTACGGACGAAAAGTTATTACTCTTCAAACCAGTTAAAAATATGTAGGTGACGCCCTCTACAAGTAGGAGTCATATTGACATCAAAATCGAATTTCTCATATCAAAAAACTCCCATACACCAAATTTCATCCAAATATTGATGTTACTTCAGAAATTATTTGGAAAAAATCAAAATAAAAATGAAACTTCTACACCCTGTATCTCCGAAGCTAAGCATTTTAGGACATACATTTATAAGAACTTTTTTACTTATTTTTATCTGCAGAATATGCTGCCGAAGTTTCCGGAATACAGTTCGGACCACCCTGTATACTAATGATAAGCTGTAAAAACTTTTTAGCTCTAAGTAAGGCTGAATATCTTATGTTTTAATGGTATTTTGATGGTTTTATTATGACACTATTTTGACAGTGAATGACAGTTGATTTTGTTCATTCTGTTTTATCTCCTTAATTTTGTATATAGATCTTGTAAATATTTGTCATTTCGATTTTAAGTTTAAACTTCTAGGAAATACTTTTTAATAACAAGACTGTATTTGATTTTATTTTTTTTTAAATGGGTCAGCACTATCTATCTAAACTTTTGAAATATTAATAAATATTTCAAAAAAGATGTTTTATTGATAAAATATTGTTTTTGTATTTTCATTTTATATTGAAGTATAAGAAATAGTGTAAGACTTTGAAGATAGGTTGTGCTGAATAATAGTCTTAAGTAGAAACAATTAATAATTTTATGAATTTGGAGTCCAACTCCTCGTTGTTATTTTTTGATAAGTGTAAACATATAAAAAATATACATACATTTCTATAAATAACTAATGTTAACAATCCATTTGTGTGCAATGTTTTTGTAATTAGAAACAAATTAAATTAAGTATTATTTTATTTCGGATTCTTTTTCTTTCACACCTAATATTACCCAAATTTTTTCAACGTTTACTTCATTTTCTTCTGTGATTTTATCCTTCCAAGAAAGCAGTTTTTCCTTGACTATCCCCATGTCATAGTCCACCATAGATTGGAAAAAGCCCAACGCTTCAGCCTATTTTATTGTGTGTATTTATTAATAACAAATTCATATACAAGGAAATACCATACAATCGAAAAAATCGGCGTCAAAGACGGCTGGGGAATGCCAATCCATGATAATTTTGGCGAGGTCAAGCTCTAGACGTCATTACTTGGCCTATTCTTTATTTTTTAATGGTTTAAACCTCCAGATGGTCTTAAGAACGTTATAATTTATTTTTATATCGAGTAAGAATGATTTTTAAATGGTGTAGGTTAAAATTCGAGAAAAAAAATGTATCTGGAAACGTTCTAAATGTTCGCAATTTTGACAAGTTTTATGTCAGTTTTTAATAAATGACGATAACGTCTAGAGATTGATCTCGCTAAAATTTCATCGATTGTCATTCCCTAGCTGTTTTTGACGCCGTTTTTTTGTTCGATCATACGGTAAAATAATTCACTATAGTAGCAAGCTTACTTGTAAGTCTCTGGGCTGCTTTTTGGACAAATACAACAGTACTATGTTCATTATTTCTTCAATTATTTTATTATCGACATCCAAGTGAGCTAAAATGGGCCCGATATTGTGCAAAAGCTCTATTTGAAGCTTATAATTTTGTGTGTATCGGTAAGCTGACCCTTTATCCTTCAGGAAGCTTTCCGGGGCTAATTTCTTCAAAGTTTCTTTAATTTTAGGTAAAAGTTCTCTAAAACAACCAATTATATTAATTTTATACTAGTGTCAAACTAATATTCAAGATAAAATGTAAATAGATTACCATTTTATATAGTTCAAACAGAAATGGATGATTTCAAATTCCGAATAGAGAAAAAAATTTCCTCGTTGCAAAGTCCCTTTAACTTTAAGTAAAATAAGTATATCTCTATCTTTTGATGCAGAAGCAAAAACCAAACAATTTGCATTTAAAGTGTAAACGGTTACTTGCGGTATTATATTACATAATGGGTCTTTCAAATAGTGATTTTTTATTAGTTAGTTTATGATAATTCCTAATTTTTACTACTGAAAAGCCAAATACCGCCAATATCTGCAAACTCGTTAAAAACTTAAGAACAAAAATATTTTTTTTACAAAAACGTGTGTTGCTTAATTCTGTTGTTAGATTTTTAATTCTTCATATAAGTGAAAAATAATACAGGATGTTGCATTAAAACAAAATGAGATAGCGCATTTTAAATATTGCAATGTTGGTCACGCTATAAAAAATATCATGTGTAAGAAAATGTTTATCATTACTTTTTTAGGACACCCCTAACGTACCTTTACAAACCATCCAACATATAGATCGATTTTTCATATCTAATGAACCATCCTGTATGTATGATCTGCCGTAGTATGATCGCATTACACTCATTACAGTCTCTATTTACAATATTTTGAATTTTAAGATAAATTACGTGTTAATAGACGAGTACTTTTATGTTGTATAGTTCATATGAAAATGATTGAAAGTGCTCCGAGAATGTATAATTTCATCGATTTCTGCCTGTACCATATATATTACGAATCCAATATTCTGACGAATGTTTTCAATTAAACTTACTTGGTCGTTCTCATTCGAATAAAATCCTTAGAAAGCACAGCCAGTGTTGCCAACAGTTTAACACTTAACCTAACTATCAATGGTTCTTTATCATTAAATCTAGGAACTAAAGGTGACCATATTTGATGCACTATAGGTAGTAGCTCATCCTCCCAATCTTTCAGGATTTCAACGCCATTATTAAGTATTTCCAAAACTAAGATTCGGGATTCTTGGTTTTTGGAAGGCAGAAAGTGTAACGATCGTTTTAATATCGAGGTCGTGAGTTTGATATGGATAGGTGGTTCAGGTTTTTTATAGCCTGTATCGCCTGAAAAATTAAAAAACTTATATTTGGCATTTCGAAAACAAAAAATAAAAATACCGACAAAAAAGAACAGTTTGAATAAGATGTTGGTACTATTTGATACATATATGACTATTTGACGTTGCGGATGAATTTTGACCACAGAACATAACTATTTTGACAGGTGACATGGACAAATATGACAAGGTTAGGCAGTGTTGTCGCTATATAACGGGCAATTTCGGTAGTAAAAGCAATCAATGGGCGCGTTCGGGGAACACAGCCGCTGACATTCAGCGTAGAATTTAGCTGACCATTGATTTATGACATTTTACGATATTCCCTAAACAGCAAAAAGCAGCAAAAAGACCAAGAAACGGCAGCTGTCTCATGCGCTCTCTATCTACTATAAAAATTTGAGAGAAATATAAATAAATCGTCTTCAAATCGGTCTATAATCGATCTTTACTCTTTAGAATAAAAAATTATTTTGAAAAAGAATTATTACTGGCTGATCATTTAATAATTGAAAATATATTATTTGACAATACAGTATTAAATATTAAATCTCTAAAAATAACAGTTTATAAATAATTTTACCTATACACCATTTTCGATGGAATGGTACAAATAAAATTACTGAAGGTGTAAATACCATACAATAAAAAAAACATCCAGGGTGACGTGTGGAGATGAAGATTTCTGTTATTTTATAAGTAAACCTGAAGTAAACTTATACCGAGTGCGTCTCAAAAGTGGCTCACCCCTATAACTTTTTTATTTTTTCAGATAAAAGAACGGGATTTGGTATGTTAGTATATGACATAAATTAGGATTGATTGACATATTCAACTGTTTCGGTCACTTCCGGTTTCAAAGAAAATGACTACAACTTTTGATTTTTAAATGGCACCCTCGGTATTTTTTTACTTTATTCGATAGAAAATGATACACTGAATAGAATGACATCATATGTCAACTTAATATTGTAACCTGCGGTTCATAACGACAATTTGACTCGAAATACCAAGTGTGTGATATCAAATTATTCGTAAAAAAATGTCTAAATATGCTAATGAGCCACCCTCGTTCCATTTAAAAAAATTGAGATATGATTAAAAATACGATTTGGGCATCTTTTAACCTAACATAGCAAATCTATTTTTTTTTATCCGAAAAAATAAAAAAGTTATAGGGGTGAGCCACTTGTGAGACGCACCCGGTATAGGTAATGTTATCGATCTTCGTATAATTACATTGTCAAAAGTTATTTACGCTGATTTAGATTTTTTCAGAAAGTAGTATTTTTTTTCTTTAATTTCATTGTATTCATAAAATTCGACTTGAGATGGAAATCAAGTTGAATTTTCTTTATTTCTTCAACTTCTTCGACCTCTATTTACAACTGTCATTTTCGTACGTTTTAGATTAACCTACTGCTTTGTAACTTTTTTGATAACAAAAATTTCTCCTATTTTTTAAAGATTCGATTTAACTACGGCTACGATTGACTATAAACTTCAACAAACCATAAAAAATAAACAATAAACTGAGAAAAATTAAGTTATTTTACATTAGTTGACCACAGATAAGGAAATAGATCAAGGCTGACTCGTCTTAGCCTAAATATTTACCGCTGAGATTGTTGTACAGCGGCTGACTGTTGCTGTTATCGTCAGAATAGACCATCAAGGAATTCGCTTACTCAGCCGCTGACCGTTTCTGAACGCGCTCAATATAAAAAAAGAAACAAAAATAATTTAATAATAATAATAACCAAAAAGAGTGAAACCAACGCAATCAAATCATGCTGTAAGCTTGTTTTGATTGTGTATTATCCGCTTTTGTGTTTTACTCATGGTAACCCTGAAACCTACTGTTTTCTTCGTCTTCTTCTTCTTCCTGCTTCTTCCTTTCCACATCTTCCCAATACATCTCTTCAGCCGTTTTACCCTCCATGATATCATCAGAAAAATCATCCTCCTTATAGTTTATACCGCTAACTTTAAAATCTTCGTATTCCAACTCTTTTTGTTTCTTTGATTTTATTGGTTCTGTTACGTCGTCCACCTCAAACCAGCGGCGTAGAGTCAGCATGAACATCTTAAACACCCTCAAATAGTCAGGGGCGTACTGCTCCTTGAATTTATTACTGGTTTGTAGAAGAACCTAAGAAGCAAAGTAGTTCATATGTACCCATAATATTGTACCGTATGATCGAATAGAAACGGCGTCAGCGATAGCTATGAAATGAAGATCGCTGTTATTTTATATGGGAAATGTCATCGATCGTCATTTCCCAGCCAACTGGACGCCGTTTTTTTCGATCATACGGTATTAGCTAGTATAGTACATTTAAAACAAAGTCAAAAGGGAAACAAGGATATTAAAGTAATATGTGTTCGCAAGTACTCTTCAAAACAGTTAAAAAACATGTAGGTAGCGCCTCCAAGTAGGAGTCATACTGACATCAAAATCCCAAATTTCTCATGTCAAAAAACACCTAGACACCAATTTTCATCCAATATACCAGTTGCGTCTCAAAAGTGATTCACCCCTATAACTTTTTTATTTTTTTAGATAAAAAAACGAGATTTGGTATGTTAGTATTTGACATAAATTAGGATTGATTGACGTATTCAATTGTTTTCTGTCGCTTCCTGTTTCACCGGAAATTACTACAACTCTTGATTTTTACATGATACCCTTGGTATTTTTTTATTTTATTCAATAGAGAATAACATTCTGAACAGAATGACATATCATATGTCAAATTTTGACATTTTCGCTTAAAACAAAATTGAATTTTAAATTTCAATCTAGAATCTAGAGTGTGTGTTAAAAACACTAATTTTTAACCAAGAAGCTTTGGAAAAATAGATTTGATCACCTAATTTTATTCGTGTCTTGTCCTGGACGGTTAAAAGATACCTAAATCGTAATTTTTTTTTCATTTTTGTCAAATGTAAAGAGGGTGGCTCATTAGCATATTTGGAAAAAACATTTTTTTATTAGTAATTTGGTACCACATACTTGGCATTTCGAGTCAAATTGTCGTTATGAATCGCATGTTGCAATTTTAAATAAACCATATTTGAAAATGTCAAACGTTGACATATGATATGCCATTCTATTCAGAGTGTCATTTCCTATCGAATAAAGCAAACAAAACACTGTGGGTACCATTTGAAAATCAAAAGTTGTAGTCATTTCCGGTGAAACAGGAAGTGACAGAAAACATCTGAATCTGAATACGTCAATCAATCCTAATTTATGTTATATATTAATATACCATATCTCGATTTTTATCTGAAAAAATAAAAAATTATAGGGGTGAGCCACTTTTGAGACGCACCCGGTATATCAATAGATTTTTACATCTATTTTATTATCGTATATTGTTTACATCATTATTATTTGTTTACATCTGGTTTGTATATGTTCCCTTCGTTTTGTCTGAGGAAGCACCAAAAATACTGCCAAAGTAAAACGATTTCATAAAAACAAAAAATGAAAAATCGATACTCATACAAAGATGTAATAACAGAGAACAAGAAAAAAAGAAATGCTAAAGGTCTTACTTCTTCCACAATGCCGCTCATATATACTAGAACATCCTTATCACAGTATCTAAAAACGACAGAAAGCACATTCAAAACATCTGTTTTGTCGTTTTGTCTCTTTAATCTCATCTTAACTTGAAATGAGAAATATCTGAAGTTGTCTTGTATCAAGTCGGGGATATTTTTATATTCACAAGCATAAGCTATATTGTTCAGCGCCATTAATCCTGCTGCACTTATCAAATAATTACCATTTCCTATAAAAACATTATACAGGGTCTTGAATAAAGCCTGGTTATTGCGCCACAAAGAAATATACACGATTTATTATACAGGGCGCTATTCAAGTTCCCCCTGAAGTTCTCTTTGAGCTATTTTAAGATAAAAAGGTTAGGTATAAAAAATAAGTTTAAAAATACTTAAAACAATTGAGCGTCCCGATTGCACAACGACCTTAGCGCGTGGCCGCGGGCAGCCCAGTAGGCAAGCAAGACAGCGACGCGCCGATCTAACAAAATAAATAATTTTAAACCTGCCGTCATTGCGTTAATAATTATCGGAGCGTGTTGATTTTTGCATAGAAATACTCATGAGTCTTTAGCGCTTCCGACAAGCCTAAATAACTGGATTATTTTTTATATTTTCGATATGTTTACATTGCTCGAGCATATTATAACTTTGTGATAAAAATCTCTGTTATAAATTTTAAAACTGACAGATATGAATACTATCATTTAATTAGTTATACATTTAGTTACAACATATTCAAAATTTAGGTCTATCGGTTTATGCTAGCAGTAATAACGAGTATAAATAAAAAAATGGTCAGTACAACGCTCGCCGTTTTTAGCGCGCTTTGGTTTTAGTTTTAGCGCTATTTTTACAGAAAATAAATTCTGAACTTTGATCAAATGACAAGAACATTATCATTGCCGATATCTCCTGGTTATAATGTAGTTCTTTTTTCAAAATATTGCATTGTTTTAGCTTAAAAAAAACTTGAATTATGCGGCTTTTTTGCGAGAGCTACCGGCGCTGCGTTAATAAAGAGAAGACTATGTACGTCAATCGAAAGACAGTATTTGCGATAGTCTTTTGTTTACACGGAGTACAGAAAATTTTTGCCACAGCTTGTTTACTACCAGTAGTATTTGTGCGTTTTTTAAATTATTTATTATTAAATAGAGGGAAATGCGACCGAAAAGAAAGGTCAAAAGTTAGTTGAAATCCGGATAAATGGTGTGCAATAGTTCCAAAAAATCTCGTGACGAGGTAAAATTACAGTCTATTGTGGCTATGATTGACTTACATAGCCATCTCTTTATTAACGCAGCTCCGGTAGCTCTCGCAAAAAAGCCGCGTAATTCAAGTTTTTTTTAAGCTAAAACAATGCAATATTTTGAAAAAAGAACTACATTATAACCAGGAGATATCGGCAATGATAATGTTCTTGTCATTTGATCAAAGTTCAGAATTTATTTTCTGTAAAAATAGCGTTAAAACTAAAACCAAAGCTGAACATGCGCTAAAAACGGCGAGCGTTGTACTGACCATTTTTTTATTTATACTTGTTATTACTGCTGGCATAAACCGATAGACCTAAATTTTGAATATGTTGTAACTAAATGTATAACTAATTAAATGATAGTATTGATGTCTGTCAGTTTTGAAATTTATAACAGAGATTTTTATCTCAAAGTTATAATATGCTCGGGCAATGTAAACAATTCGAAAATATAAACAATAATCCAGTTATTTAGGCTTGTCGGAAGCGCTAAAGACTCATGAGTAACTCTATGCAAAAATCAACACGCTACGATAATTATTAACGAAATAACGGCAGGTTTAAAATTATTTATTTTGTTAAATCGGCGCGTCGCTGTCTCGCTTGCCTACTGGGCTGCCCGCGGCCACGCGCTAATGTCGTTGTGCAATCCATCCATGTTGGATGACTCTCAACAATCTGCCGCTCGAAAATCGGCGATGACGGGTAATTGGTGGTCGTAGTAGTCGATAAGTACTTAAATAACACCCTGTATGCCATCGAAAAAAAACGGCGTCATAAAAACGGCGGTCTTTGAAAAGCAGTCTTTGACAAACAAAAAGTGAAAAATGTGAAAAGTTTCCAGACACCAAGATTCTATAGTAAAAATAACCTGAGGTGCTTTTCAAAGGCTACTATGACGCAGTTTTTTTTTCTATAACACGGTATATAAAATTAAATAATATATTTTAACAAAAACAAATTATAATCAGGGACCGGTTAACACAGGGGGGTCCACTATATCCAGTACCGTTTAGTGTAGTATTAGAAAAAGTTATAAAAGATGCGGGAATCAACAGAGAGGACATTTTGTATACAAAAAGACACCAATGTTTAGTCTTTGCAGATGATTTAGTCTTCTTAGCAAGAGAAGGGCTGGAAAGAGGAGAGGTAGACCGAGAACCAGATGAAAAAAAGATGTTGAAGAGGACTTGAGAATGAGTGGATGAGTGGAGAATAAAGGCGAAAGACAGAAACAAATGGAGAAAGATAACCAATCAAGCCATGAGACTTTTGGGCTTTTAGAGCTATTATATATATTTCTATAAACCTACCTGCTTTTTCTAAAACATAATACAAACTGTTGATTAAGTAAATTTTGAATTCTTTTTTCATGGCCAAACTGATTTTTCCGATACCCTCAGTTAACAAACAAATTAACATCACGTTCTTTCTTACTTCATCTACGCTGAATTCTTCAGGATTTAAAAATTCGCGTAAATCGTTAGACGTTGATTCCATATACAGATTTAAAATTGAATTTAATAATTCTATTTGTTTGGGGGATGGATCTTCAAAACCTAAGATTTCAGAAATAAAAAAAGTATTTCTACACCTACTATAACTTAAAAAAAATATACTGTGTGACATAGAACTTGCAACGCCTAGTAAATATAAATATTTTTTTTTAATATTTTGGGAAGTAGTTGGGTTAAAGAGGAACACTAATCTATGTAATTTTCCAAAAAATTATTGAAAGGAATTCTTAACAATTCAATAGTGAGTTGCACCTCCATTTTCAATACCCCACAGGCAATATACAGAGTAAGTCTTAAATAAGTGCAAATATTTTTAGGGGTAGTATATTTCGACTCCAGAAACACGATTATGAGGTTTTTTTCGCGATTTTTTTTTTGTAAATTTGGAATTTTTTGATAATATAGCAATATAGGTACAAGAAAGAAAATCCAGAAAATGTCCAGTGGTTCTCAAAATTTTAGCAAAAAATATTTTTTTTTTGGAAATTTTTAAAGTAAAATAACTCAGTTATTTTGGATTTATTTCAAAAGCGGTAGAGAGAAAATATGTTTCTTTTATCGAGATCTACCAACCGAGAAGTTGTAGTACAGAAAAAAGCTCTTTATCTCACAATGACAAACAAACGGCAGTATGTCCACAGCATACAGGACATACTTCGGTTTGTTTGTCTACCGCCAATGGACATACAGCACATAGAAAGTCTAAAGTATTTTCGCCATTTAATTCGAATAGGATAAAATTAATTTAGAACATCGTTTCTGACATAATATTGTAACTCTGTGTATGTAGTTTGCAATGCCACCTTTGGTTGAAAATCTTAAAAATGGACAAAATGCATTTAGTAAGTCTGTTCCTCATTTGTAAACAGACTGGGATACAAATGTTATGGTTTACTAAACTTAATGCATGTAATCTACCAACAAACCATTACCAAATATAAATAAGCATATACTGAATGTTGCAATTTTTATGTCACAGTATACCGAGTGCGTCTCAAAAGTGGCTCACCCCTATAACTCTTTTATTTTTTCTGATAAAAAAAGGAAATTTTGTATGTTAGTATATGACACAAATTAGGATTGATTGACGTACTCAATAGTTTTCGGTCACTTCCGGTTTCACCGGAAATGACTACAACTTGATTTTTAAATAGCACCCTCGGTATTTTTTTACTTTATTCGATAGAAAATGACACTGAATACTCTGAATAGAATAACATATCGTATGCCAATTTTAGACATTTAGAAATACCAAGTGCATATTAGGTACAAATATGCTAATGAGCCACCCTCGTTCCCTTTAAAAAATTGTATACAGGGTGTTTCAAAACAAATGCGAAAAACTTCAGGGAGTGATTCCTTGTTCAAAATAAAGGGTAGTTTGCTTCAGAAACGTTGGGTCAAAAGTCAACCATTAGGAAGATATCGCGGTACAAAGATGGCGGAAAAATAATGTTCTTATTTTTTATCTTGAAAACGAAAAGAGATAGACTAATGAAATTTTATGGAAGCATTACTGTTATGAAAACACACTTTCTGGTAATTTTTTCACTTTTTTAAAATGAGTGGAAGGGGTTGAAATAAACTACCCCTATCATTCTTGTTAACGAAATTTAAAGAAAAATCTTATCAAACACATGCAAAAAAAATTAATTTGGATAGTTTAGTTTGTTTAGAAACTTTTTTATCTTTTGTATTTTTTTGATAAAACTCACCGATTTGAAATTAAAAAATAAAATGTAAAGCATTACATGTCAGGACTAAAAATATTTTTAGATTAAGAATCTAGTGATAATAATGATAATAATAATAATCTAGATAATAACGTATTGCAGTAGGGTAATGTCAAATAAAACAATATTAGAAACATCCTAAAAAGTGACAGCGGCCGACTAGATTTTTTCCTTACAGCTGCCCACTAGATTCTTTATCTAAAAATGTTTTTTGTCCTGACATGTAATGCTTTACATTTTATTTTTTAATTTCAAATCGGTGAGTTTTATCAAAAAAATACAAGAGATAAAAAAGTTTCTAAACAAACTAAACTATCCAAATTAATTTTTTTGCATGTGTTTGATAAGATTTTTCTTTAAATTTCGTTAACAAGAATGATAGGGGTAGTTTATTTCAACCCCTTCCACTCATTTTAAAAAAGTGAAAAAATTACCAGAAAGTGTGTTTTCATAACAGTAATGCTTCCGTAAAATTTCATTAGTCTATCTCTTTTCGTTTTCAAGATAAAAAATAAAAACATTATTTTTCCGCCATCTTTGAACCGCGATATCTCCCTAATGGTTGACTTTTCACCCAACGTTTATAAAGTAAACTACCCTCTATTTTGAACAAGGAATCACCCCCTGAAGTTTTTCGCATTTGTTTTGAAACACCCTGTATATATCATAAAAATAAATATAAATATACAGGTTCGGCAATAGTGCGTCGGGCATCTGTAGCTTCTAGAATAAAAAACTTGAGAATTTTGTTTAAATACAAATCTAAAGTATGTACAAGGATGTATTTCAGGAAAATATTTGAACTTCTATAGGGTATAGTATATATTCTATAGGGTGACTCAAAAAATTATCAGTGGATCGGGATAACTTTTTTTAAAAGGGACAACCTGTATATTATTGCTATATGTTTGGCTTCCTTTCAGATCACTTTACATAATCCTAAGATATGAGTAAATATATTTCAATAGTTTCAGAGATATTAATAAATAAATAAAAAATATATTTTTTTCAGCATTTAAAAAAAATATTAAAAATACAAGAAATGTCCTGAAATCAAAACTATATTAGATATTTACCATAGATGGTCTATACTTACTTTGCTATAAATATCGTAATCGTAAATCATACAGGGTGTTCCAAATTCTACGCCAAACTTTCTAAAATATAAAATAACTTTTCTTTGTTTTTTTAAATTGAACACCCTGTATATTAATTTTTATTAGATAGAAAACTTAAAAATGAACAATTTTTGTATTTAAAGTATTTCAAAATGTTTAACGGTTTCGCAGATACATGCAGTATTATTTCATATGGGTTTTTCAATTGCTGTCCTCCATTCGCGAACTTCGAGTTCCGGACTTTACGCCCTGGGGCTACTCGAGAACGGTTCTGAAAGGAGCGGTGCGCGATAGCCTGGTGCCTCCATATGGCGCGGAACAGTTCTGGAGCTTTATGACTCAATTGAATGGAGTGAGAGTATCGCGTTCTTGAACAGTTCAGAGCTGCTCAACTGCGTGAAAGGAGGACAGCAAATGTATGCAATAACGTACTAGAAAAAAATCACTGAGTGGCTTAGATAAAAATTTACTATGGAAAATGCCATATGAAATATAAAACCGTAAATAACCGATAAATAAACGATGTTTTTTGAAGCGAGCATGTTAAAAGTTCATATATGATAGGTCATTCTATTCAGAGTGTCATTTTCTATCGAATAAAGTACATATAAAAATCAAAGGTTGTAGTAATTTCCGGTGAAACAGGAAGTGACCGAAAACAATTGAATACGTCAATCGATCCTAATTTATGTCATACTAACATACCAAATCTCGTTTTTTTATCTGAAAAAATAAAAAAATTATAGGGGTGAGGCCCTTACTTTTGAGACGCACCCGGTATATTATTACCTAAAATAAGACAGTTTATCAAGAACACTGCTTCTTTGTCTCTATTATGGTCATACATAAATGTGTCATATAAAGAATCGAAGATTATTTCGAAAGCGTCGCTGCGGGCTAAATGCCGACAGAACGTTTCGATTTTCGACTTGACTCCCTCATCACTAAAATACCGAAAACTCAGCCAAGGAGTGCTTAGATCAGGCTCGGCATTCAAATCCTTAAAACCATACTCTTCGAGTAACTTCATTTTGACTTTGTCCAACTGAGATATGTACAGTAAGCCTTCAGTTAGTTTTTGTAATGTGGCGGGTGAGAGAAGAACGTGACTTAAATTGTGACTGCCAAATAATTTGACGTATCCTATCAGCAAATTCATGGCTAAAGATTTTTCGGCATCATCTATAAACAATACAACCAGGGTTGAAAAGAACATGTTTTTTAACAAAACTTGTTTCTTTTTCTATTTAAATCAGTTTTTATTGTTTTAAACACGCGTAATTCGTCGACCAGTACTTTTCAGGCGGATTAGTGTACTATTTGGGGAGAAATTTTAGAGGAAAGAATTATAACATCGTGCTCGGCCAGCTTTGGCTGAAAAAATGGCCCTAAATGGCAGAAACATCAGTTTTTTGGCAAATATCTGCCAAAATATGCAATTTACAGATATTTTCTTGGAATTTAGCAATTTTTACGTAGAATTAGTAGTTTTCGAGATATTGCGCCTCGAAGATCTATGAATTTCCTCTCCAAGTCTTAACGCTTCGAAGATAGATTTCATAAGCATATACACACACCGGAAAAGTCTAGGAATATTACAATTTTATCCAGCCATCGTCAGTAATTTTATTATTTGCATTTCAGATATAATAAAATTAAAATAAACAAATAGTTTACAGGACGCATTGGAAATAAAAATGCGAACTTTACCGAATTTTTCAAATTTACCTTGATTTTTATTAAACTCAAAAAAATACACACATTTTTTTTTAATTCTAAACTGTGAATTAAAAAAAAAAGATAAAACCAATTTTACTTAATAAAGGGTATGGCCTCCTCTACTGTTCATTACAGCCCTACATCGTCTCTCCATGCTCCTGATCAGGTTGTCATGGTAACATTGGCATATGGTAACACGACAGGCTCAAGAATTAAATCACGATATGTGATTCCTGTTAGAAACCTTTCAAGAAAAACGAGATCGGTTTTTCGGCCTAACTGGACTCCTCCCCAGACCATAACTGTTCCACCTTGATAAGGGTGCACTTCCTGAACATGATCCAACCGAATAAGATTTCCCGGTTCTCTCCATACCCTCAGCCTTCTCGAATCCGGATGAATTCCAAAGCGTGACTCATCCGTGAAGAGAACATTGGCCCATTGTTCATTCGACCACTGAACATGATCTTGAGCCCACAAATATCATACCTCTCGATTTCCTCTCGTTAAGGGTTGAGCTCTCCAGGGGAGTCTGCTTCTTAAGTTGACCTCTCTTAATCTATTGCGAACAGTGTCAGGACTAACGGTTACATTATGTGTTTCCTGGAGAATTAAACTAAGCTCTGGTGCTGTAAGAGTCGGTCGGCGTCGAGCATTTAATTGTAAAAAATGATCTTGCTGAGGGGTACTAATGCGATGTCGCCCTGTGTGCCTTTCAGCAACATCACCACTTTCACGGTAGCGTGCACTTAATCGCGATATTACACTTTGCGTTGTATTTAATGCTCTAGCTACGTCGATTTGGCGAATTCCAGCTTCGAGCATACACATGGTCCTTAGCATTTCGTCTCTGTTAAGATGTCTACGCTCCATAATGTCGTTTAATACTAAACAGAGTTATTTGAATGAATTCTGGCCAGTTATCATAAAAACATAGCCAGTACAGGTTAAATTCGAACAATTGATGCTAGGTGCTTTTTATACAATTTGACAAAAAATGCACAAACACTTCTGCAAATATCCCAAATTTAGAAATAACTAGTGTGACTACTTCGTTTCAATCGAAGTAGAAAGAATCGGCCTACAAATATGTGGTTGTTTATTCAAAACATTTATTTTTAACTTTAACAAAATGATATTCCTAGATTTTTCCGGTGTGTGTAATTGATTGATAGGACAAATTGTTTAATAATTCGGGTAAAATTTAATATTTTTTGATGATCCAAAGTTCATATACAAGGTAGAATCAACAGCTATCACATTTTGGACCTGGTTTCAATTTTGTCATATATTATGATAATAAAAAAAACAACTGTGGTTTTGTCAAATGGAATTTTGAAAGTCGAAAACTGACGTATTATGAATTTTCGAATCTTTCAATTTTGAATTATTACACAGAAAAAACAATTTTATTATTATATCAATGGTTAAAAAATTATAAATCTTAAAATATAAAGTATGGAGAAAAAATATTTAATATTATATTTAATATATCCCATCTAAACATCTGAACAAAACAAAACAAAAATAAGTAATGTATTTCTGTTCAAAAATGCCAGGTTACTACTCTGGAAACCGACTATTATTGCGAGCGATATGCGAGCAAGTGATTAAACGGTTATCCTCTGTCCTCTATATTAATGTTTCAGCATAAATCGTAAATCGCCTGTATCGTCGGGAGCAGCGAAGACGGTACACCACACCCGATGTTAGTTGCGTTCCGAGTAATCCTCGAGGATCGACAAAAATACTTAAGACATACCGAGGATATGAATACTCGGATGACCGAGTATTTTTCACTCGAGTGATCCCATCACTAATAATAGCTTATTTGTCGAGATTTTTTAACAGTTGTTCTTAGAGTCTCTTTAAGCAATTAGGGCAATGGTCCAGCTACGTCGAAACACCGGTTCCCATTAGAACACCGAAGTTAAGCGACGTAAGGCGATACTAGTTGAAGGACGTGTGACCGGTTCGAAACTCTGTATCGTACTGTAGTCCAAGGTAAAAAGGCAAAAGAGTAAAATCTATTGACACACACTGCTCATTCACGCTGGTTCGAGGCCGGATGAGATCGGATATCTCGTGGGTAAGAGTCGATTTTGACACTTGCCAAGTCGGTAGGCCATTGACCATGATATGGCCGAGGACCGCCGTTCGGATTCCGCGTAAACAAAGTAAGCCCCGTCCAGATTAGCTCTGGCAGCAAAAAGGAGACGTTAACTGAAATCTTTACTTTTCTTTAAGCAACTCAGAAAGTCTGAAGTATTGGTTTAATCACATTTTAATAAAAAAACAGCTAGTGGTCAACGTGAGTGGCCTTTTCCGCTTTTTGGGGATTTCCGGAAAATGTCGTAAACAAAAGAAAATTACATAATAACTTTATAAGTAACAAACATCAACAAAGAGTTGGAAATCAATGATGAAAGTTCAAAATTACCTGCAATATTTTGCAACTCTTTCAGAGTATATTGTTCTTGTCCATTTTCCCGGATATAATAGACAACCTTCACTATTTGGTCTGAAATATCAGCATCCAAGGGACGTACTACGCCCCTTGATGTTCTAGGGGCTATGAAACATGACCTATAAAATTGTGTATGACAATGCTTGTGATATCTGGCATCCGCACAAAAAAATCTCGACAAATAAGCTATTATTAGTGAAAATATGAATAAGTTGCTGGAATGTTTGCCCGGTTTTTTTATTATCATAAAATATGACAAAATTCAAACAAGTTCCAAAATGTGATACCTGTTGATTATACCTTTTAAATGAACTTTGAATCATCAACAGATATTAAATTTTAGCCGAGTTATATTAAACAATTTGTCCTATCAATCAATGATATTATGCTTATGAAATCTATCTCCAAAGCGTTAAGACTTGGAGAGAAAGTTTAGGGATCTTCGAGGCGGAATATCTCGAAAACTACTAATTTTACGTAAAAAATGGTAAGGACCATTTTTTTAGGCAATTTTCTAAGCTTTTATATTATAAGACAAATGTTGTAAATTGCATATGTATATTGGCAGATATTTGCGAAAATTGATTTTTGGGGCCATTTTTTCGGCCAAAGCTGGCCGAGTACAGGGTGAGTCAACGATAGAGTAAAGTCCATTATCTCATTTGTTTCGAGGTCAAAAAAATGTTTAATATAAAAGTTATAGGGAAGGTTAAGATACACATTTTAAAATTATTGTAGAGTATACAGGGTGCTTCAAAAAAGTGTGGCGGATATAACATATATTTTTTTAAATGCAACACCCTATTTTTTATTCTATTTTTAGATTCTGCGTAAAATTCCATAACTTTTTTATATATAATGTTATATACCTAAAATTAATAGTTTTTGTAATATTTAAATTTGTTTAAACAAATGGTAAATTGCAGTGTGATAAAAAATTGTCAGTGGTACCATTGTTTCTGAAGTTGCAATACCAAAATTTGGTATGAGAGTTTTATAAAGATGAAAAAAAGGATATATGTAAAGATATTTTAGTTAAATGCTACAGGGTGTTCAAAATATATTTATGAATTTCAACTACTTAAAATTAAAAAATCTCAAATTTTTCAAATGGTACACCCTATATATTTTCATTTTTTCTGATAGATTTTGCAAAGCTCTTCAACTTTTAGGATTTTCCGTCGGTGCTAATATCCAGATTAGGGTAATACTAACTAGATTATCTAATTGTTGACGACTACCGATATAGGAATTTTTTTCGACATACAGTCATACAGTAAAGTTTTTTTCTCGTAGTAATTCTGGTTTATAATTCATTTCATAAAGCCAATATTACAGCTGCGAAACCGTCCCATTACACACTGAAAATAATATAATATAATATGAAAATGTTTTCTAGATAATCTACATCTATTCTTATAGTACTTAGCAAAGTACTATGTAATATATAGTACTGAGCCAAAAAAATATGTTTATCTTGGCTTGTTCGTGTATATCAGTTACATTGACTAATTCATTTTCAGGAAAATCTGTAAAACTATTATCTTTACCTCTACCATTTATACTTATTACAACAAAGTAAACTAAAATTCACGTTTTGTTCTTAACTTGCTTAACAGACATATGAAATTTTGATCATTATTATTTTTTATCATGGCAACTATGATGTTATAGCGTACCTAATTGTATTAAAGATATGGTAAAAATAGAAAAAATTGGAATAAATCGCAAACTATTAAAAATAGGTATATGACATATTTAATAAAAGTTGAAGAGCTTTGCAAAATCTATCAGAAAAAATAAAAATATATAGGGAGTACCATTTAAAAAATCTGAGATTTTTTAATTTTAAGTAGTTGAAATTTATAAGTATATTTTGAATACCCTGTAGCATTTAACTAAAATATCTTTACATATATCTTTTTTTTCAGCTTTATAAAACTCTCATACCAAATTTTGGTTGGAATACTTCAGAAACAATGGTACCACTGACAATTTTTTATCACACTGCAATTTGACATTTGTTTAAACAAATTTAAATATTACAAAAACTATTAATTTTAAGTATATAACATTATATATAAAAAAGTTATGAAATTTTAGACAGAATCTAAAAATAAAATAAAAAATAGGGTATTGCATTTAAAAAAACATATGTTATAACCACCACACTGTTTTGAAGCACCCTGTATACTCTGTAATAATTTTAATATGTGTATCCTAATCTTACCTATAACTTTTATATTTAACATTTTTTTGTAAACCTCGAAACAAATGAGATAATGGACTTTACTCTATCGTTGACTCACCCTGTACAGTGTTTTCCCCTAAAGGTACACAGTCCGCCTAAAAAGTCCCGGTCGACGAATTGCCGTGGTTTCAACCTACATTTACTGGACTATAACCGGAAAGGCCAAAACAACAATAAAATAGATATACTATAATTAAATAAATATTTACCTATACTATTAAATTTTCTGGGTAAACTATTAATAGCATTAAAAAATCCTTCTTCCAAATTCTCAAAAACCAGTTTTAAATCACCAGAGGACAATTTTGATGAATTTTCCAAAATAATTTTGTTACTTTTCTCGCTAACTGAAGGATCTGAATCTTGAGACAAAATTATCAAATATTCCATCAAAGTCGAAACAGATTCTGGCATTGTACTACGGTATTATAAGTGAAATTTGATATTACACAAAATTATATTATATTTTTACCTAAAACACTTAGAAGAAATTTCTAAAACCATATCAATCAGTGCATGCTTAACTTTTAAATGGTCATAACTAGTTAAATGAGCTAATTTTTTTAAAGATATATTTAGCTTGTCATCAGTCATTTTATACCATTTCAAATTTCTTTGTGTAACATTCAAATATTGGTCTATTTCTTTTTTATCTTTAAATTTTGAATGTGCTCTATTTGAATCTTTATTGTTTATAGCCAACAATTCGTTCAATGTTGCTGTTCTATCTAGAGGATTATAGTCCTGCATTACAACTGATATTATTCGACCATATGCGATAATCATTTCCTAAATGAAATAAAAAAATTGTGTTAAATTGAAGGACATACTTGAAAAAGAGTAGTTTGAAATGTTGAAAAAGTAATAGATGAAAAAAATATTCTTTTAGCCGTGTAACAAATAGTTTTTTGCGTGTAACAAATAATTTTATAGGTGTAAAAAACAGTTTTTTACGTCAAAATAAAACACTAAATCACCAAAATACACCAAAACACTTTTACTTTTACACTGGACGCGCGTTTCGCTAACCATGTTAGCATCATCAGCAAATGATTATAAACTAAAATACAATCTAAAATTGGAGCGTTTATATACTCGCTCAGTGGGCACAGAGTGGGCGTGGCAAGATCTAGCCAACCGAGTCAGAACCCACCGAGCGTAACAGTTAGATTTCCGCCACTAGAGTAGTAGGAACAAAGAACTTGAAGGAATTGGACCGTTGTCTCTGTTCATACTATCTTTACATTTATTAATTCTGATGCTTTCATATGCATCTAATTGCCTGTAATTTGAGACTTCGTTAATTCATTTCAAGTTATTAAGATCTATACAATGTTCTCTATCAACAATATGTTCGGCAACGCAAGATTTATACGGTCTACCATATCTTATCTGAGCTAAATGTTCTTTAAATCTAGTTAATCTTGATCTTCTAGTGTGCCCAACATATTTCTGTTTACAATCTTTACAAAAAATTTCATAAATATCCGACCTTTCCAGTATAGGTGTTTTATCCTTTGGATTACTTAATAATTGTTGTAATTTATTATTAGCACTATACACAAGTTTATAATTGACATTCTTAAAAATTCCTTTTAGACCACGGGATAACTGTCTATCAAACGGTATTGAAAAATATTTTGACGTATCTTTCTCCACTTGAAAAGTCGAATTTTCAGAAATCGTTAACCTATACCTACGTTTTCTAATTATTTTATCAACTAGTGAAGGAGAATATCCATTACACTCAGCTACATTCCTAATGGACTATCTTTCTATTTCATATCTTTCGTTGGAAAGTGGTAATATATGAACTAAGAAATTTAAACTAGCCATTTTATGTTCAATACTGTGATATGATTCATTAGGAATATATATGCGTGTAGTGGTATTTTTCCTATAGATATCAAATTCCAGGCAATTATTAGTATTTCTAATAACTAATACATCTAGAAATGGTAATCTGTCGTTCTCAATTTCATGTGTAAATTTAATGGAAGGAAAACGATTATTTAACTTAGAAATAAAATTATCTATGATGTCTGAATGTGTGTCAAAAACAGCAAAAATATCATCCACATACCTAAACCATACTCTTGGAAAATACTCAAACTGATTCTTAGCCTCCACTTCAAACCTGCTCATGAATAAATTAGCTAAAAATAGAGACAATGGATTACCCATTGCTGTACCTTCCCGCTGTTAAAAAAAGTTGTTATTAAACTGAAAACAATTTTGTTTCATACATAACGAAGTTAGCTCAATATATTCAATCACAGTTTTGTTATCGAGACTATTTACTTTCAGTAATTCCTTCAAGTAGCCTAAAGTATGTGGAATTGGAACACTTGGGAACAACGAAGATACATCAAAGGAGACCAAAATTTCACCTTCACCCAATGTTATATTTTTAATTTTGTTAATGAATTCAATATTATTTTTAACTGAGAAAGAAGGTTCATGATTAGGTAAATTTTCGAACTCCCTTGATAACCATTTTGCCAAATTATAAGTCGGAGCACCTACAGCCGAAACAATTGGGCGCATAGACTTGTCTGGTTTATGAACTTTTGGCAACGCATACAATTTTGGTAATGAGGGATTGGATACTTGCAATTTTCTCTTTAAAGAAAAATCAATAAGGTTGTTACATTCTTTTAAAGTTTTTTTAACATGTGTTACCATCTTAGACAAAGGATTCTTTTTCAAATTTATGTAAGGACCATTATCGATTAAGTTGTTAACCTTATCGTAATAGTCTTTTTTATCTAATATACTACTAATCCAAAGGATAAAATACCTCTACTGGAAAGCTCGGGTATTTATGAAATTTCTTGTAAAGATTGTAAACAGAAATATGTTGAGCAAACTAGAAGATCAAGATTAACTAGATTTAAAGAACGTTTAGCTCAGAAAAAATATGGTAGACCGGATAAATCTTGCGTTGCCGAACATATTGTTGATAGAGAACATTGTATAGATCTTAATAACTTGAAATTAATTAAACAAGTCTCAAATTACAGGTAATGAGATGCATATGAAAGCATCAGAACTAATAAATGTAAAGATAGTATGAACAGAGACAACGGTCCAATTCCTTCAAGTTCATTGTTCCTACTACTCTAGTGGCGGAAATCTAACTGTTACGCTCGGTGGGTTCTGACTCGGTTGGCTAGATCTTGCCACGCCCACTCTGTGCCCACTGAGCGAGTATATAAACGTAATATAACTCCAATTGTAGATTGTATTTTAGTTTATAATCATCTGCTGATGATGCTAACATGGTTAGCGAAACGCGCGTCCAGTGTAAAAGTAAAAGTGTTTTGGTGTATTGTGGTGATTTAGTGTTTTATTTTGTTGTGTAATACCAAAAAGGTTCCAACCCTCAACTGTAATCTATAGTTTTTTTACGTGTGACAAATAGTTGTATACGGGTAAAAAATTAGTTTTCACGTGTATCAAATAGTTTTTTACGAGTAAAAAAAAATTTGCGTGTAACAAATAGTTTTTCACACATAAAAAATAGTTTTTCGCGTGTAACAATTAGTTCTTTGCATGTAACAAATAGTTTTTTACGCGTAAAAAATAGTTTTTTATGTGTAAGAAATAGTTTTATACGCATAAAATAAAGCACATCGTGTCACTACGTATTTCTGAGCCGTAGGCTGTGTCTCGCTAGCTCGTGTGTATGGCTTTGCATTTTTTCTCCCAGCGCGCGTAAAGAAGTTTCACATCAAAAATATAAAACAGTTTTAATAAATATAACAAACTAACTCTTAAAACTCTGTGACCAATTTGAACACTATTCTCCAATCCGATTTCAGTAAAAGTACTACATATTCCTGGCAAGAAAAACATAAAAATCTGGGAGACTCTGTCTCTTAACACCGTGTCATATAAGTCATCTGTATCTGATACTTTAGCCAGAGTTGTAATACATTTGATTGCTGTACATCTGTTGAATTAAAAATAAAAAAAATAAAATTATATTCCTATGTATAATAGTTGTTTCTCAAACCTCAAGTCTCTAGATTTTTCTTTTTTAGCTACCTCTCCACAAACATAAATAATCTGTGAAAATTTTGGTATATTTTCCTTGACGTATAATTGGTCAATGATCTGTTCTGAAACACTCTCTATCAAACAAATCATACATTTTAAAATTTCCAGTTTATATTCCTCTGTCACAGGATAAACTAAAATTGTATAAAATAAAAAAAAAAAATCTATTTTAAAGACATACTAAATTACCTTTATGTTTGGTATAATCATATAATTCAAAAAGTAGAAATGAATAAAAGTTGAAAAATACAGTGACATTTTCTATAATCAATTTTTTTAACAGTTCTTCTAACGCTTCTACCAACAGTTGCTTGTCTCGGCTATTAAAACTACAGAAAATATAATTCAAAACTCATCCATTCTTTTCTAAATACTTTTACCTTCCCTTGTCTGTAGATACAGCTTTCATGTAAGGATAAAAACATGCTACTAGATGCTTCTCTACAGCTTTTATAAAACTCTTTTCGGCACCCTGTATAGTTATCTTCAATTCTTCCAGCAATTTCACATCCGTATGTTGCTCTAATATCTTTTTACACAAGTTATTTAGCTTCACATATTCCACAAAACTTGGACTATCCATTTTTACATATTTGTTCAAATATTTTATTCAAAATAAGCGCCAAAGGACCATTTTTCTGATCACCAAGGGCACTATGAAAACAGGTTAGGTTTGTATACAAACAAAAAAAGTAATTTTATCAATTCTGATTCATTCCGTAGTGATTCCCTCCGTGTGAAGATGGGCTAAGAAAATCAACAGAGTCGTAAACAATATTGGTGAGTGATTTTTAAAGAAATACATTATTTAAAATTCATGGTTTCTAAACATTTAAAATTTAAAGATCTTTGGAAATTAAAATTAAATTAATACAGAAATGTGAGAAGTATTTTAAAAAAGCTTACTTGTTGGTTTTGGTGCTATTTTTCAACTTATTTTAAAGATTTTTGTTGAATATTATCGCAAAAATAACACAAATTTATTTTGTTTAAATAATTCTGATTGTGAGGTTAGATAAGGCCGCTGATTTGATTGTCTGGTTGCATAATATTAATGGAGCAGATGAAAAAAATAGAAAAGATTTAAATCAGAGATTTAAATAATAATTATTAATAAACTGGATTTAATATTTGGGTTTCGAATAAAAGTATTTAATTTTAAACAGTAGCAGTCACATAAAAAAGGCCACTAATGTCTAGTGTATCAAAATGTTAGAAATAAAAAAAATATAAATTAGAGATTGTTTCCCTTTAACATACAGGGTGGTCCTGTGTTTCGAAAATAACCCATTTAAGGTTCTCTGTTGATATTTTCACTCCAATTCTTTTTACAAAAACTATACAAACTATGCAGGCAATGACAACGTACATTTAGAATCTAAAATATACGAAATAATATACATGTCACATACATGTACTGATTTCTTTCGAAAATCGGCAACTATGAAACTATGATCCCTTCCCCGACACAAACGGTACATTGTAAGACAGGAAATTGTAGAGAAAAACAAGCCCTATAACATAGAATACAACATTTTAATGAACAGTGCTTTCCATAAAATCAATAAAATGAAAAATATACGAAATAAAATAAATGTACCGATTTCTTTTGAAAATCGACATCTATGAAAATATGAACCCTTCCTGGACACAAACTGTACATTGTAAGACAGGAAATTGTAGAGAGAAACAAGCCCTATAACATAGGATACACCATTTTAATGAACAGTGCTTTCTATAAAATCAATAAAATGAAAAATATACGAAATAATATGCATATACTGATTTCTTTTGAAAATCGACATCTATGAAAATATGAACCCTTCCTAGACACAAACGGTACATTGTGAGACAGGAAATTGTAGAGAGAAATAAGCCCTATAACATAGGATACAACATTATCTAATGAACAGTGCTTTCCATAAAATAAATAAAATGAAAAATATACGAAATAATATGCATGTACTGATTTTTTTTAATTCGAAATGTTTATAACCAATTTTACCAAATTACACTATGTTGCATGGTATATACAGGATGACTCAAGAAGGTCTATTCTCTAATCCACTGTTTCAAATTGATAACAGTTTAGCATAAATTAACATAGATTGTCACTTTTATTTAAACACGCTTACTAAGAAAAAACTGAAAAACAAATATCATGTGTTCTTATTTTAAAAAAACTGTCAGAGATGGCTTGGAAATAAAAAGCTTTGTCATTTTGTATGTAAAATTATTTAAATAATATTAAAAATGTTATCGATCGCCATTTCCAAAACAACTCTACTTTTTTTTTCGATTATACGATATCGTAATTAGTTTTGACTTGCTCTGTACAGATTAAGCCATTTGGCGTATTTTCAATTGAATAATTTTGAAGAAGATACTACGTGATACTACCATAAAATACCGTATGCTAAAAAAAACGGCGTCCAGTTAGCTTGGAAATGAGCATCGATAACATTCCCCGTATTCATAGCCATCGCTGACGCCGCATTTTTTCTATCATTTTGTATTATTTTCAACTAGGACTAGAAATCGTTAATAATTTGGGATTTTCTTTAATCTTAAGAAGGCTTTAAATACACAAAATTAATCGTAAAAATGATAAAACATGATTGTTGGCTGTTTTATTTTTTTCCAATAGTATTTTTTTGATAAATTTGCTCAGCATAAAAATATACAACATTTCGTTTTAAAAGCTACATCTTTAGTGCAAACATATATTTAATTCACCCTGTATATCTACAAAAATATTTATAAAATGTGGGCAATTTTAGTGCAAGTATTTCTTCAAAAAACTTTGGACCGAAAATTTCAAATAGAAATCCTGATAGGTGTTTTTTTGCAATACTGTATCACCCTGTATAAAAAGTAATATAACTATAATTTATTTTTACTTTTGATCACTTTTAATTTACTTAGATAAAATTCCATTTTAAAAGTTACATCGTTACTGTAAAAATATATTTGAATCACCTTGTATATTTACAAAAAAATATTTAAAATGTGTAATATATTTTTTTTCCACACGTCACAAAAGTATTAATTTTTGCGACGTGACTGACAATATAAAAAAGTCATTTTAACGCCTAGCCATAAAAGTAAAGCACTTTTACGCCTAAGCATTTTACGCCTAAACTGACGTAAAGTGTCAAATTCAACGAGCGTAACCATAGTGTCTCGATATATAATTACATACAAGGTATAATCGAAAAAAAACGGCGCGGCGTCAGCGACGGCTTTGAAATGAAGATCGCGATCATTTTATATGTAAATTTATATGGGAAATGTCATCGATCGTCATTTCCCAGCCAACTGGACGCCGTTTTTTTTTTCGATCATACGGTATTACTTTTAAATCGTTTTATATTATTTGGAACGTTTGAAATTGTTTAAAAACTATTTGCGGCGTTTGAAAAAAAATAGCATGTTCTATTCGGAGTAAAAATTACTTTTTGTGCCTCGCCTGTATGTCAAACGTACAGCCTCGCCACAGAAAGTGCCATTTTTACTCCTAATAAAATCATATCTATATATATTATAATATATATATTATAATATCCAATACTCCATCCAATAATCCATCACGCCCATCTATAAGAACGGCAAGAAGTGTGACGTCAAGAATTATAGGCCCATCAGCAAATTATGTACCTTCTCCAAACTTTTTGAAAAGCTAGTCTACCCATATATTTTCAATTTTGTGATCGCTGATATTATACCAGAGCAGTATGGTTTCCTTAAAAAAAGGAATCTAGAACTAAATCTCATGGAATACTCAACATACATATATGAAGCATTTGACTCGTTTTGTCAAGTTGATGTCATATTTACAGATTTCAGCAAAGCATTTGATAAGATCAGCCATGAAATTATGATTCAGGTGCTGGGGGAGATGGGAGTCTGTGGAGATCTGCTGAGATGGTTTGAGTCCTATTTGCTCAATAGATCTATGTTTGTGGCGCTTTTGGGCTTTTGCTCGGGTACATTCTCCCCGTCATCGGGGGTTCCACAGGGTTCTCACCTCGGCCCCCTTCTCTTTGTAATGTATATTAATTGTATAACGCTATGTTTGATAACTGCCTGTTCCTTTGCTACGCTGATGATCTGAAGATCTTTCTCAGAGTTAATTCCATGTCAGATTGTGAAATTCTACAAGCTAGTCTTGAGAGGCTGATCGAGTTTTGCAATGAAAATCAGTTATTTTTGAATCCTGACAAATGTTCTGTGTTGTCGTTCTCTCGGGCATCTACAATCATTAACTATAATTATAAACTTGGAAGTTCTGTTTTTAAACAGAGCTACCCATATAAAAAAGATCTAGGGATTCTGTTTGACTCTAAAATGACTTTTCAACTCCATATTGACAAACTGGTTAATGATTGTAATAGGACCCTTGGATACATTAAAGACAATGTGTTGATTTCAATAACTCCAAAACGATTTTGACTCTGTATTACTCATATGTATTTAGTAAACTACAATTCGCATCTGTCATATGGAGCCCTGTATATAGAAATAACGTTGAGAGACTGGAAAAAATACAAAAGAAATTTTTTGAGATTCCTTGGCTATAAATCGCACTTCCACGTAGCACATCATGATTACTCAGAGATACGGCGGCGCTTCAAAATTCTTGAATTGGAAAAGAGACGTACTCTATCTGACATTTTAACTTTGTTTAAGATCATTAATAATCTGTCTAGCTCTCCAAATATCCTATCGAGAGTTAAGATTAATGTGCCTGTCCGTGCGCTGAGGGGTCATGACCTCTTTTGGGTTCCATATTGTAGGACCAATTATTACCAGAATGCACCATTGGTGAGGATGGTTAGGGCTGCTAACTTGTATTGTTCTGATTCTGAACTAGATTTTTTCAATCAAAATCTACTAACCTTTAAGAATAGGCTTAAGTTGAAATTGTTAGAGTAGACCGATCTCCTGTCCTGTGATACTGTGTATATATAGACCACAGTGACCTGTAAAACACTACCTCTATGCTTTGTATTAATTAATTAAGAAATCTAAATATATTGTAGATGTTACTTGTTTTATAACTTATAATATTGTTAATGGAAAATTATTGTAAACTGTAATATCAGGATACTAGTTTTGGACTTTTGTTCCGTTTGTATCCTAAAGACTGAAATAAATAAATAAATAAATAAATAATATAATTTGCACCGAAAATTTCAAGTACAAAAATAAAAACCTGATATGGTATTTTTTACTGGATCACCCTGTATAAAAAGTAATAGAACTATTTTAGATATAACTTTCGTAATTTATTTAGGTAATTTAGGTGAGACATATTTTATAAAAAAAAAGGTTCAAGTCAAGCTTATTATTATCAAAATCACTTTTTAATCAGTAAAATTGAATGGGCTATTAGCGATTAGTGTATTACTACAACTTCTACCGGTGCACTAGCACCCACACCTTTTTTCTCCTTCAGTACCTCGCCGAATATATCAGAAGACAGTGGCAGTACCTTTGTACCCTGTCCCCTCTGTCCAACGTTTTTTAATTTTCTCCGTATCTCTGTCTCTCGTTCGCGCAGCCCACGCTCATGGCCCCTTATCACACACACAATATATATTTATAAGTCGTACCTCAATAATAAACGCGGGGCGCTAGCGGGGCACCGGTCATAGTACAACCCGGTCGTGTATAAGACCGCCCGGCCTTTGATAACTCGTTTACTTCGTCAATAGTTCGTTGCATCCGTCGGTCATCATCTACTGAATGAGAGGCAGTACCTTGCGTGAGTAGTTTGAATAAAAAGTGCTTAAAATGCCGACCTGTTCGTCCGAAAGTTTATCCAAAGTCTCGTGGCCGAGCAACGAGAGCATCCACGCCGGTAGTTCTTCGAGTGGTTCGGGAATGCAGAGCCCCAGCTCGCCGGTATGTTTTTCACCGGGTTCGACTTCTCCAGACAACACTTTGCGAAAAAGGAGAATCCGCAGAACATCGTCGTTAGGAAGTGTAATACGGGAACCCTTCGTTATTCGCTCCGATGCGAGAGATAACCGAAGCCAAAGCCCAGTACTATCCCAAAACGCTCCCCAGGAAGAAGAAACCTTCTCGCTGCTCTCAGCCATCATAGGTTGGTACCCATGTTTCCTCCTGAGAATGGCTAAAGCGATCATCATTGCAATTCTACCGAAGACCTGGAAACAGCTAATATTAGCCCTCCCAATGCTCTGGATCTCCATGTGGTTATGGGTGTTTACTCAACTCGTTCAATTACCTTTTATCATGATCAGAATGGTCTTGAACATGATCCTACTCCCTAATCGCTCCAAGAACCAGAAAAAACGAACGGTTTTGATCAGCGGAGGTAGCACCATCCAAGCTCTACATCTAGCCAGGAATTTTTATTCAGCTGGAGCGAGAGTTGTGGTTTGTGAAGTCCAAGGAGTGTTCGCTTTGGCCAGATTCTCTACAGCTGTCAGTAAGTTTTATGCAGTTCCAAAACCAACCAGCGATCAGCTACAAAACTATGTCAGAGCCCTTTGTGAAATAGTAGACAAAGAAGAAGTGGTGTACTACATCCCTGTCTGCGCTACCACCTCAGCTTACTATGATGCAGTGGCCAAACCACACATGGAACTGTTAGGATGCACCTGCTATTGTCCAGGAATTAAAGAAGTCTGGGTCCTAGATGATACACTAGAAGTACTGAAAAGGTGTGAGAAAAATCAGATTAGTATCCCGAATTATTACGTTGTAACATCAAAAGAGGATGTTTACAGATTGTATGACACAGGTACTATAAGAATGGGAAATTATGTTATGTCAACAGCTGGTCCAGTAGGTTTGAGAGATCGTTCCAAAGTTATTTTACCTTTATCCAGAGCAGACCTTAAATTACCCAACGATATAAACCCTCAAAGACCTTGGGTAGTTGTCCAAGACCTGGAAGGAGAACATTACCTCACTTGCACTACTATAAAAGAATCCCAAGTTATTGCAAATGTCACTTGCAAGCTTGATAAAGAAAATACCGGTCTGATACCCATAGAGCACCAAGAAATCAACCAATGGCTCACGAATTTCTTTCACAAGCTCCAGTTTTTGCGGCCGGTAAATGGACACGTTAGTTTCAGGTTTGTCGTGACCAAAGAGACCAATACCATCAAACCTTTGAGCAGCAGAGTTGGAGTATCGCTGCCTTACATCTGCTACACCAATATCCACCCAAGATTGGTTTGGAGACCGTGCAAACACTTTAACAGACAGAATTCTGGTCCTTTGATTAATGGGAATGGTACTTATCGTATGCCTGATACTGTCTGGAACACCCTCAAAAATCCGTCACTGGAAAAAGTGACCAGGTTGATAGGGACGGTACTTGATAAAAGGGAGGCTTTGTTTACCATTTGGGATCCCCTGCCTTACTGCGCGTACTACCACATGCAGTTACCGTTCAAAAACATGCTTGGGTTCATGAAAAGCAAGGAGAATGCCTTTCCAAGACCACTGATGAACAGAGTGCGCTGAGATTGATGAAGCAAATTAGGAGAGAGATTCAAAGACATAAGAGAGTGAAGAATACAAGCCTTCAAGTGAAGAAAGTCCAGTGATAAGATTTTTTATTATTATTTTTTAACTTCAATAATTCGAAAAATTCGAGATATATGGGTAAAATGGATTAAAATTTTTGAAATAAATTATTTTAAACGTACACAGAGAAATGAACTTCGAATCATAGATAAATTCAAAAGAATTTCTTGTTATTTGTTATTTATTCATTTATCGAGTAAACGCAGTTATGATATCTTTAAAAAAAGAAGCGTTCAAAATATGTGTATGTATGATATTTAAATCCGTTTTGCCAGTATATACAGGGTGTCTCAGATTTAATTTTGTTCTTAATTTAAATAACGTTAGAGTGATTTTTTTGGGGCTCTTCAAAAAAATTTACTCTCAAAACGTTTTCTAAATTACAAAAAAATATTGAATCGTTAAAAAAATATTTTTTTATTGTTATTTTTCATAACACAAACTCGTTTTTTATTGTCTGAGAACACAGACTAGTACAAAAGTAAAAGAAAAAGTTTGAGTTAGACCAAATAACAATAAATAAATTCAGAGCAAAAAAGTTTTAAGAAAAATCTTGTATAAATATTTGTATATTGTTTTATATTTTTATATAAAAATATTCTTTTATAATAATACTTAAAAATGGTTTATTTTAATCATAAATATTGTAGATTTTAGATTTAGTCCGTCCTTGTAGATATGTTCATCAAGAATTATTGTTATTTTTTATTAATTGTTGTCCTTTTATATTATCGTTTCTTTTCTAGCTTAGAAAATTGTAAGAATATTCTTGTTCCACCCTTTTTGTACAAACTAATATTTATTTTTTATCTTTAACTGTAATAAATCAAAGACACGATGCAAGTTTACTGTAAACATGTTGTTTCTGTGCATCAAATTATACATAGTGTGTAAATATTTTTTCTCTGTTATGTGACAGTGTATAGGGAACAGAATTTATACGATATTTTATTGTTTGGTTTATTGAAATCTCTGTATATTACTGAGAGACGTTCTATATTTAGAACGTCGACAAGGTATCATTGTATCAATGGCATAAACGTTGCGAATTAATAAATAAAATGTTTCAGTGATAATTAAATCTCTTTGACTTTTATTTCGATTTTGTTGTTGTTTTGTCCATGTTTAATAGGGGTTATCTTAAGCAAAAAAAAAGTTTTTATCGATTTTCATTTCCAAATTGCAAAATATCCGTTTTAATGAAACACAGGGGAAATTTAATGAAATAATTATTGTAATTTTGTTGTTGTTTTCACAGTTGCGTAATTATTGTTTATGATAATTTTTTAAAATGTTTTTTTTCTCTATTTCAATTTCTCTACTCTAAAACAATTATATAATTATAATAAAAATGCAATAATTTTTAAAGACAGTAAAATCAACAAGGACGTTATGGTAATGTTTATAAATTTTGGATTATTATTGGACCAGGTCAGTAATGTATCTAAGATCGTTTTATTAAAAAATAGTCTCGAAATAAGAATATTGAAATGAAGCAATACAAATAACTATTAGCAATATAATAACACAAATTAAAGTGTGTCAATTTGTATTTCATTAGGTTATTAAAAAAATGGAAATAAACAAAATAGCTGTTTGGTTAAATTACAGGAATTTAAATGATTTAAATGTACTCCTTATTTAATATGATTTTAATTAATTATTTAATATGAGTCTGTGAGAATTAATTTCCTTTATTTCGTCATTTTCTGATAGGTATACATATAATCGAAATGTAGAATTTCTAAATAACTTTCTATATTTTCTAATTTTTCTAATATTTTGTAAGTTGAATCCTATACTTTCTAATATTATAATTAAGTTAATACCAAACAATCGAAAAAAACCCGTTAAAGACAGCTCAGGAATGACAGTTGATGATAATTTTAGGGAGGTCAAGCTCTAAACATAATTTACTTAGCCTATATATATTCTTGATTATTATTTATTGGCTCTTACTGTTAGTTGGCCTTAAGAAGGTTGTGGTTTATTTTTATATTGAGTAAACATTATTTTTAAATGGTCTAGTTTAAAATTCGAGAAAAAATATTTTTTGGAAACAGATTTATGTGTCTGGAAACGTTCTATCCTTTTTTAATCTCTCTGTAATTAGTGTTAATTTTTGACCAATTTTATGCCAATATTTAGTAAATGACGTCTAGAGATTGACCACGCCAAAATTATCATAGATTGTTATTCCTCAGCCGTCTTTGACGCCGTTTTTTTTCGATCATACGGTATATTATCTACAATAATAATATAACCATTATGCATCTACTTCAGTACAACAGTTTTTATAATTATTATTAAAATCAAAGTCTTTGTAACTGGATGAGAATATAATTTTTTTTACTAATGAAATGGTTTTCATACTCTAGTTTTCAATATTTTTCAAAAATAATATACCATCTTGTTTACTATAAATATGGAATTTGTATTTAATAGGTTTTTTGAATATCAAGTAAGTCACAAAGTTTAAAATGAACACCTAGAATAATAATCGTTTAAAACATTAAGTCGTAATAAATATGATATATCTATATGTCTTTTCTATGTAAAATTAAATTATGAAAATGGAATAATTGCGGATGGTACAAGTTTCATTATACAGGGTGAGTTTCCTATGATGTTCTCTATGGGTATTTCGGAAAGTACTGGAGATAGAGAGTCGGTTAAATGGTGAAAGAATTGCAGTTTTGTGGGCTCATAAATATTCGTCTTTCAGATTTTCGAAAAAGTTCATGGCTGACTAGATATTTCGAAAAAAAACAAATTTCGGCTATTTTAAAAATTGTCTCTAATTCCATTTTAAACTATTTTAGACAAAAAAGTTTTCAGATAAAAGTTGTAGATAATCACATCCTTAATGAGACCGTTTCCTTCGTTTTTTTCTAAAGCCTGTCATTTTTGATATATGACACAAACATACACATGTTTTTTTAAATGGAAACCATAGTTGGCCATGACTTCATAAAAAGCGCCATTTATTAAGTTTTTTAGTGATATAAGCTATAATATCTTTTCTTCGAAAAATTACTGAGTTATAGCCAATTCTTATCATTTTTAAACAATTTCACTTAGTTAGCCATGAAAACAAGTTCAATCGCCGCGCCGCGCCGTTGCTCTCAGAAATGTTAAGCTGTCACATCCAAACTTTGTAAATTATAATAAACAAAAATTGTAAATATGAATTTTTCAAATAAAGAAAAGCGTGTAGATACTCGCGCATCAATAGAGTGGTTCCAACCTTAGATGTTCCAACATGACTTTCAATATGACACACCACCCCCCACCCTTCATAATGAAAGAAATTTTAAAAATTATTTATATCATAATTATACAAACGCAGGGATAGGAAGGGGTAGACTAATTGCATGGGCATCTTCGATCACCTGACCTATCCATTTTAGAATTTTTTATGCGATATAGTTAACAATAAGGGTTTACAAAAGAACTTATGAATTAAGAGAGCCACTCGAAGTGGCGGTACGAGAAAAGTCTAATTAAGTCGACCGGTCCTTCTGTGAGAATAAGTAGTAATTCAGTTTTAAAAAGATGCAACTCAAAACAATGGCGGATTTTTTGAACATTTTCTAAATTAACTTAAAGTGTATGTAGTAATATTATTTTTTTAAGTTTTAGTTTGTGTAATGTAAATTGTAAAGAACCATTTAGTAATATATTCTGACTTTTTATAAGTTATAAATCATAACAGAATAAGAATATCATGCAATCTAAGTGAAATAATTAGTCAAGAAAGATGAGAATTGGCTATAACTAAATTTAACTTTTCTAACATGTCTTGAAAACCGTTCTCTAATAAACGTAACATTCACCGGTCAACGTATCCTCGAAAATGTATGGCCAAGAAAGGTTGAACCAATAATCCTACACGCTTTTCTTCATTTGAAAAATTCATATTTACAATTTTTGTTTATTTTAATTTACAAAGATTGGATGTGACAGCTTCACATTTATGAGAGCAAAGACGATTAAAATTGTTTCTATGGCTAACTAAGTGAAATTGTTTAAAAATGATAAGAATTGGCCATAACTCAGTAATTTTTCCAAGAAAACATATTATAGCTTATATCGCTAAAAAGCTTAAAAATGGCGCTTTTTTTGTCATGGCCAATTATGGTTTCCATTTAAAAAAACATATGTTTGTGTCATATATCAAAAATGACAGGCTTTAGAAAAAAATGAATGAAACGGTCTCATTAGGGATGTGATTATCTACAACTCTTATCTGAAAACTTTTTGTCTAAAATAACTTATAATGGAATTAGAGACAATTTTTAAAATAGCCGAAATTTGTTTTTTTCGAAATATCTATCATGAACTTTTTCAAAAATCTGAAAGGTGAATATTTATGTCGCCACAAAACTGCAATTCTTTTCCCATTTAACCGACTCTTTATCTCCAGTAGTTTCGGAGATACCAATAGAGAACGTCGTAGGAAACTCACCCTGTATAACATTAAGTATACCGGGTGGTGCATCGTCCTTGGAAACATATGAAATCCCATGCAAATACTGCCATGCATATAACTGTCCAATTATTGCCTCCCCTATTAATTTAACTTGTTGTTTAACTAAGTCCTAAATAGTTTTTTAAAGATCTGCCTATGCTAATACACAAGTCATTTAAGAAAATCTGCATCTATTTTTAAATTAAAACTTAACAAGTAACATGCAACAATGCAACCAGACAAATATCAAGAACCTATGATTTTATCATTGTCAAATGTAATTTGTTGTGCGGAAATGTATATTTTCTCACCAGTAGTGTAATACATCAGGTATGGACGAAAAGTTATTACTTTTCAAATCAGTTAAATAATACAGGGTGGCGCCTCTCATACGCCGCGGAGGCTCCAAGGAGAACCACAGTTTGTACTGAAATGAAATTTTGTAAGCATATGTAGGTTAATTCAGAGCACTTTTTAAAAATATATAGAGTTCTACAGGGTGTCCCCAAAAAAAGTTACATATCAAAGTTGTGTTTTTGTAATAGAACACCCTATATATTAATTGATTTTCGGATTCTGGGAGAAAAATAAAGGTGAGTTTTATAAGAGAAGTATATGACTAAAATGTAAGGTTTTTGACATATTTAACATTTTCTAGAAATAAAGAACAATTTTTAAATTACAATAAAAGCTACCTAAATTTTAGTCTAGCCTAATATGTAGTTAAATTAACTATTGTACTTTAAATCAAATTAAAACTTGATCCAAAAAGTTATACAGGGTGAGACAAAATTAATATTGAACATTGGTCACCTTTAAAGGCATGTTACTCTTTTATTTTAAATGGAATACCCAGTAGGTATATTATTCCGATATTCAATGGAGAATTCAAAGCTCTTCAAAATAGGTACTATTAAGGTTGTCTACACCTCAAACAAAGATTTTCCTAGATATTTTCATTTATTATTTATTTTTACTTATTATTATGATTTGATCTGAGTAGATTTTTATTATTTGATAAAATCTAGGTGGCTGTGATATGGTCTGACCTTACTTCAACATAGCTGTCTAAGTAG